TGATGACTTAATTACTTTTTATTGGTTCGAAAAAACGCTCATTGGTGCTCACAGAAAAAAGCGGCTATTTTGAACCCAGAAATCGGTTTAAATCACAGCGGAATGATTAGGTAGCTTACTTATCAAACACCCTAGTAAATTGAGAAATGTCGATTGTGATCATAGTTATCTACGGTTAACTATAAGTATATGAAATTGATTTTTGTCAACTATGTTGACTATAATCTTTTTTAGTTAACTCTGAAACATAACCAACTATATTCGATTTCAATCATCTATTGGAAAATGAAATTTATCAACTGTAAAATTGATTTAGCTCCCCAAGCACTCAATTTGCACTGTTGACCCGTGGCATTCGCACCGTGCGTATGCAAATACACTGCTTTCTTCGTATCTCGCTCTGAATTCTGTTTCGTGTTTCCTTAGCTGACGCACGGTGCAAATTCCCCGAGCGAACAGTGCAATTTGAGTGCTTGGGTCATGATTATTTATTATACGAAATTTTTTATTTATTAAACACATCCAAAAGCTGGCTGAACCAGAATGAATCAGAAGGATTCATGAAAGAAAAACTGCTCTGATTGCAACCAGATAATCTTATCTATTATTTTTAATCAAAAAACGGAATGTGAAAGAATTGGCCAAATTTCAAAAAGCTGTTGTCTTCATTCCCGCTTTTCTTGTTATTGGCAAGGCCATTGATCTTCTTTGCTTTTTTAACCTAATTTGTTAACCTGCTTTATCTGCATTCGTAGTTGAATTTCAAAAAAGAAAGCATTATTTTAATTGAAATGAAAACGGGAAAAACGGAACATCTTCAGTTGAGTCTTAGTTATTGCCTTTAGTGCAATTTGTGAAACCTTAAATTTCATTTTCATGTCGAATTTGACTATTTTAATTGAACGATTCAAGTGAAATTGATGATTGATAGCTTTCTCGTTGATTTCATCGAACATTTTTCGATCGTCTTCTATCAGATGAAATCAACAAGCACGTACCAAATGATCTGGCTTGATATCACACAAATATCTTGTGAAATATAGCAAATGGTCTTCAACTGAATGATGCAATAATAACAAAAGTACTGAAAACATTATTAAAAACCTGTCAAATTTACCTCTACTCTGATCTCCTTTTTCTGAAAAGAGAATCCATCGAAGTTAATTCAACATTTTCATTAAATTGATTCTTTTTTTGTAAAATAAAAACTCATTTAGCAGTTTACAAAGCTCTTTAAGCTCTTCTTCTACTTACTCATAGCAGCAATTTTACTATCGGTTGTGCATTTCTCATTATCACCTGTAGAACGTTTACAAAAAAAGTCCATCAAAATATTTTGTAATTTGTTAAATCGAAGTTTCTATATAGATTTGAAATTCAATCATTCAAACAAATTTAGAAACAAAGTGAATATTGTTTTATTTAATTTTATGCAGATATATTTAGGTTAAAGGGAAAATTAAAAATACAGTTAGAAATATACCTGTGTAGCCTGGAGGGCATTGACAATTGGGGTACACGCCTACCTCTGGTGGTTGACAAGTCGGTGCTGGTGTTGTCGTTGGCGAGTAGCAGTTTGGATTTACGATGGCTGCAGAATGTTTACAAAAAAAAAATCCATCAAAATATTTTGTAATTTGTTAGATTGAAGTTTTTTTATAGATTTGAAATTCAAATAAATTTGGAAACAAAGTGAATATTGAATTATTTAATTTTATGCCATAGGCATGGTATGAAATATTTTATTGTGCCATACCTTTAAGTAAGCCGCCAAATAAACCAAGCGCGCCACCACTTATTTCGCTGGTATCTGTGTCGGTAACTGGGCGCAGTGGGCAAAATTCATTATCAAAATATGATATATTTAGATTAGATATATTAAAAATATAGTTAAAAATACACCTGGAGAAGCGACACAAACTCCAACGGTTAGAAGTGCAACGAATAATAAGAATTTCATTTTGATTTCGAATTTGACTGTTTCAACTGAATGATTCAAGTGAAATTGAAAATGTGATAACTTTCTCTTTGATTGCAGCGTCTTTTATACGAATTTTATCGAAAACGAAAACCATATGAAGATATGGACTGATGCAGCTCAAAAGCAAACAAATGTGTATCAAAATGAATTGCTGTCTCGAAGTCCAATTTCGGAGATAGCATTTGGTCTGTACAAATAATTTGCAATGATTCAATACGATTTTCTGCGATGGGTTATTTGGATTGTTTTTCTCCATGTCTCGAGGAGAGGCATAAAAACGTGGAAAAAACCATTTGTTCAAATGAAAGTAAGTATCGTGGGGAACGAATGAAGATTTGCATCATGACGCATTTGCACTGGATTTATTTTTGACCAGTTTTTTGACCTTCATCAATAAACATTAAACAAGAGTATCTTTGACGATCAGTTAACTTTATTGTTGAATTTTTGACAACCAAACGTTATAAGATAACGAATTTCTATATTTATCAGAGCAATTCGATTCCATGAATTTTTGTTGTTGTGTTTCTCTTTTGTTTTTACAAAAACATTCTCGGAACGATCATGAATTACTTCAATCTTTCTGCTTTGATTAGTCGAATCGAGTCGAATCTATAGAAGTAATGATGGGCTATTGTGCGTCGTTATAAATTTTTAACACTCGACTCGTAATCATCTTAATGAATTTATAATGTAAAAACCTAAAAGATGTGCATTAACTTTTCGACGTTCACAATCAAAGTCAAATATAAGAAATGAAAAAATGCTTACTTTGAATTGTGAATAATTTAATTTATTTTCGACTTTTGTAAATTAAATTGAAACTTAAACATCTCGACAGTTACAAATCAGATCAGGCGTTGCGTTTATATTTCGCATTTGCGTTGACAGTCCCCGATACAATATCGATAGTAAAAATAGAAAAAATGCAAAAAAAACATAAGATTAAGATAACCATGACCGTCATTGTGGAGAGGTTCTCTGATTGAAGTCAGTTTTCCAATATTTGATTATTTTTGAACGACGTATGCGGTTCCGATGTTGTTATCAATGTGAAGACTCCCAATAATATTGTCAATAAATCCGTGTTTTTATTTCCGGATGCTGGGGAAATTGTTTCTGACATTACTTGATTAGTTTTCAGCGGCACTGGCGCTATCTTTGTAATGCCGACTCTTGTCAAGCCGTCTGGCATTTTCGGTACTGTTTGCCAACGCGATAAATAATTCATTTTGAGATCGGCGTCGGATACCATTTCCATGGGCACTTGGTAATGCACTTTTCACTTTCACCAAATTTCTGGACGATTCTATTTGATGTTACGAAGTTCGGAATGAAACGTCGCAACGCCGCTATGCAACATTCTGCCGATAAATTGCTTACGAACAAAACAGAACAAATAATTTCAACCATTTTATCCAATACTGTCTTAATCAAATTAACTACTGAGAGCACAAAACACAATGATTCTTGAAGCGTTCGTTGCAGGCATTTATATTAATTTGAAGTGGAAGAGATGATGTGGTTTTTTTATTTTGCTGGAAATATTCGATGAAAAAATATTTTTCATCGAAACAATAACCAGATTTGAGCACATTAAAATGGGACATCTACTCCTTCTTCGATTCCCTCATGTGAATATGCATGAATTTATTTTAGTTTCATTCTCTGAGATGGTTAAATGAAAACTAATCAGAAAAAATAACATTTAAACATCTTTCTACAAAACCACAGATGTATAAATAAATTATACTACCAAGCGGTATATTTTGCAGATCCAGCGATATATAAGTATTTTTATAACCGAGTTTCTTCATCTATTTTACTCACATGAGTGTTGTATTCTTAGGCTCACTGTCATTAGTTCCACATATGATGGATTTATCAGTTAAACTAAGCTTGCGAAAATAGATGAATGGTAAGTCCGTTGGATCTGCATCCGTGAAAAAATCTTACCGTCACTGTGGCTACTTTCACGGAGAAAATAAATATACCCGTATCCATGGAAATATGTAAATATAACCGATTCGACCGTAGTTCCACGGATTTGTATCAGTCTGTCCCAGTTTTTCATGCTGTTTATACCTAATTCTGGCTCCAGTGGTGATCGCAAATCATACATCCTTTAAAAAAGAAAATAAAATCACAAAATGAACAAAGTCATATTGAGAAGATGTTTGGCTTTACGATCAATGAGAAATAGTTTGGATGAAAATTGAAGGAACGAACTACATACGAACGAGGATACACAAGTGAAGTCATGAATCATGAATAAACAGAGAGTAAACAATTTAAACCCGGTTAAAATGTGCAGATACTCACCAGCAGAGACACATTTGCTCAAATCTCAAAACATGCATTGAAAAGTGATACTATCAGTCAGTTGCGACAGATAAACTAGATAACAACTACTAGTACTTTAAATGTATTATTTCGTTATCTTTCAAAAAGTTAAGAATTCAATTTGGAGCATTTCTTGTACTCGTATTTATTAGCATTGCTAATTAAGCAATATTTATGCATCAGAGTTCTCAGATTTGAGATCAACCATGACATTTTTAATGAACAAATTACCATATAATAATTTGTGCATCTAAGCACTCTGCACCGAGTGTGAAGAGATAACAGCCAAATGTGTTTCATTCTTCTTTACAAAATCTTCAAAAGATCGTTTTATTTTTCAAGATAAAAATCATACAGACACTTATTTGCACTAAAAAAAAATTCTATGTCATTTTCATGTTCAATTGTCGTGATCCACGTTAACCGAAGCTTTTATTGCAATATCAATAACTTTTAAATGTGATTCTAGATTGTTCTCGACGTTTTGTATTGTAGCAATACGTTAATTTTTTAAGAAAAACAATTCTTTTTTGACAAAACACACGAAACTCTTATCAAAATCTCGAAATTTATACTACGAGCGAGCAGTAAAACAGAATTACCGAAATTAAACCATCGCAACAACAGAGTACAGCCAAAATAAATTCGACGATAAGCTCAAATATACGGGTTTGTGATTTCTTCACCTTCTATCATATCTATTCATGCAGTCATTCATTCTATTAGCATAATAAAACTCAGACTGTTTGAATGGTTACGTATAAAACACGATAACACGAATCATGAATATTTTTATTTCCAGAAAATTCACGAAGTTTCGTTTCGAAATCTGATTTTGTATATAAACGGTGGCCGTTATCTATGGAGAAGTATATTGAATTAAACAAGTGAAGTGAACAAGTGTGCTATAACCAATAACACACCAAATACAACAAAGTTGCAATATTTCTGCTGAATAGATCAACGATTTTCTGTGCGATTTTTTTAAAAAACAAAATTACAAAAATCCAAGTATCAAAATTACTATAAAGTTCTCAAGGTGTGTATTGAAATGTATGATTTTATTTTCATAAAAAGTAATGAAATATTGGACGTGGTATTTCATTGATAAAATTAAAAATTTCTTTTCCATAATATATGTTTTTATAAGCTTGAATATGAAACGTAATTTTCTCAATAATTTTAATGAGAAAAAAAGGGAATTTCGGGGAAAATTCTATTTTTTATCATTATTAGTTCCTATTTGGTGTGTGGAAACCCGCGTCATAGAAGAGTTCGAAAATACTCTCCTTACTTTACAGTTTTCCGTGCATAACGAAGAAAAAATCTAGAACTGTGCATTTATGAATAAAAATCGTCGCAATCTAGAGAGTTTTGGAGTTTTCTCATTGAAAATAATTCATAGAAATTCTTTAAAAAAAAAAAATTCGGAGAAATTTTACAATTTTTCTGCGAACTGAATAACTAATTGGGCTTTTTTATTTTTCCTTCGCCTCATTTATAGATGACTGAAAACACTGAAAATACTGAAGCTGTAGAAACTTTCGCTTTTCAAGCTGAAATTGCTCAGCTTATGTCATTGATCATCAACACCTTCTACTCGAACAAAGACACATTCCTCCGTGAATTGATCTCAAATTCATCTGATGTAAGTATTTTTTCAGTTTTTTTAGTAAATCTTCGATTTTTTTTTCCCAATTTCAATTTTTTCTTCATTCGTTCCTCGGCAAATGATTGTTTTTCATTAGAATTTTTCTTTCAATTTTACTTTCTCACTCACTCAGTGCGGGAAGTGTGTTTTGATTGATTTATTTTATCAAATTTATTAATCGTTCTGCAACTTTTCATAGGCTCTGGACAAAATCCGTTATCAAGCAATTACCGATCCATCGCAATTGGACACCGGCAAGGAACTTTATATTAAAATTATTCCAAACCGAGTTGAGCGTACACTCACCATCATCGATACCGGTATCGGTATGACCAAAGCCGACTTAGTCAACAATTTGGGTACAATTGCCAAATCCGGAACGAAAGCATTCATGGAAGCGATGAAAGATGGTGGTGACATTACAATGATTGGGCAATTTGGTGTCGGGTAAGGAATTTATTATTGATGTATATAGTGCGGTATCTAATCGAATTCGTACAATAGTTTCTACTCAGCCTACTTGGTTGCCGATAAAGTAACCGTCACATCAAAACACAATGACGATGAGCAGTACGTTTGGGAATCATCGGCCGGTGGTTCATTCACAATTCGTCAAGATGACAGTGAACCAATGGAACGCGGTACGAAGGTCGTTTTGCACATCAAAGACGATCAAATCGATTATACAGACGTGGAAAAAATCCGAAATGTCGTTAAAAAACATTCGCAATTCATTCAATTTCCAATAAAATTGTTAGTTGAAAAAGAACGTGACGAGGAAGTAAAAGAAGATGAAGACGACAAGAAGGACGGAGATGATAAGGAAGAAGAGGAGGAAAAGGAAGAACCAAAGATTGTAGATATCACCGATTGTGATGATGGTATGTAAAACCGACCTTTTTTGAATTCAACAGTTAACGAACACCAAACAAATTCTTCGACCCGAAATAATAATTATTTTTCGTTCATTTAATAGACGATGACAAGAATGAGAAGAAAAAGAAGACAATCAAGGTGAAATACCTTGAAGACGAAGAATTGAATAAGACAAAACCAATTTGGACCCGTAACCCCAACGATATAACCAAAGAGGAATACACCGATTTCTACAAATCGCTGACCAGCGACTGGCAAGATCAATTCGCTGTGAAACATTTCTCGGTTGAAGGTCAACTTGAATTCCGTGCATTATTGTATGTACCGCGTAAGGCACCCCTTCAAGACTGGGAAGAGAAAAAGAGATTCAACAACATCAAATTATATGTACGTCGTGTGTTTATCATGGACAATTGCGATGCTTTGATTCCAGAATATCTAAATTTCGTTCGTGGTATCGTCGATTCTGAAGATTTGCCGTTGAACATTTCCCGTGAAATGTTGCAACAAAACAAAGTCCTCAAAGTTATTCGCAAGAATCTCATCAAAAAGTGCTTCGAAATGTTCGATGAATTGGCAGAAGACAAAGAAGTTTATAAGAAATTTTACGAGCAATATAGTAAGAACATCAAATTCGCAGTTCATGAAGACAGTCAAAATCGTGCCAAATTGTCCGAATTCATGCGTTTCTACACATCAGCATCGGGCGACGAGTACTGTTCGTTGGACGATTACGTTGGCCGCATGAAGGAAAATCAAAAGCACATTTACTGCATCAGCGGTGAAAGCCGTCAATATGTCGAAAATTCAGCGTTTGTTGAACGTCTCGTGAATCGTGGTTTTGAAGTGGTTTATATGACTGAACCCGTTGACGAGTATGTGATTCAACAACTAAAAGAATTTAAAGGCAAGCGCTTGGTTACAGTTGACAAGGAAACTTTCGAATTGCCAGACGAAGAAGATGAAAAGAAGAAACACGAAGCCGACAAAGTTAAATTCGAAGAGCTGTGCAAAGCAATCAAATCGATTTTGGGTGATAAAATCGAGAAAGTTGTTGTTTCACGTCGTTTGGTCAAATCGCCATGCTGCATCGTTACAGCCCATTATGGGTGGTCGGCCAATATGGAACGGATCATGAAAGCTCAAGCTTTCCGGGATCCAACCTCCATTGGATACATGGCTGCCAAGAAACATTTGGAAATCAATCCAGACCATAAAATCATCGAAACATTGCGCCAAAAAGTCGAAGTCAACAAGAACGATAAAACAGTCAAAGATCTGGTCACTCTGCTATGCGAGTGCTCTTTACTTTCATCCGGATTTTCATTGCCTGAACCACAAGTTACCACTGAACGTATTTATCGTATGATCCAAATGGGTCTTGGCTTCGACGATGATGAACCGGCGGCTGAAGAAGAAGTGACACCATCCACCGGTGGTGATGCATCACCACCATCCACCGATAGTGCACCACAACCACTTGTTGATGATTCAGCAGATACCGCACACATGGAAGAAATCGATTAAATCAATAGAAACTGTTTTAGTTCATAAAATTGTCAGCTTCAAAAATATATTTACTTCAAAATTGTACTGAAAAAGTGAACTTTTTTGATTCACCGACCTATTTTCTCTAATAAATATTTGGTTTCAATTTTTTTTTATTTATAAAAAGAAACGTTGTTTATTATATATTTTTTGAATTATTGTACCGTTATTATACGTCGTTGGCATACAACTGTGTTAATAGATTTTCTCTAGAGTGTTTCTCATTAGTTTTCCGCACACACCTAGTGTGTAAGGTAAAGTATTGGAATCGGTCGAAAAATTAACACCCTCAAAAAATATGTTTTCTGGGTGTTTTAGGAGCCAGGGAACACGAATCTAGCATTTTTTCGATGTCCGAATGTATGTGTGTGGTACCCTGTACCCTGTGCGCTGTACACTGTACGCAAAAATTTGTTACGATAACTTTCAAACAAGAAAAATCCATTAGATTTTGAGCGACTTTGGTTGATAGAGTGACGTGTCATGTCTGGTGTGATGCACATGGCCATCCATGGGAAAAATTCAATTTTTCTTCCAAAAGTGATATTTAATGTATTCTTAAACACTCAAAAATATGTATTGGGGGTTTTTTTTGGTACGATTCTCTCTTTTCACTAACGCATCTATTAGTGACATTAGAAAGATCATCTCCAGTCGATGGATTGAAATACAACAATATACAACACTTACACAGGAAATTTTCATGGAAATGTTTGATTTTTGTACTACAAACAGTTTTTTCTCCTTTGGAAACGTACATTATAAACAAGTGTTTGGCACTCCTATGGGAAGCTCTATTAGCTGTATAATTGCGGAGATATTGATGGATTGGGTATTGGACCAGGCTATTGATAAAGTGATCAAGAAATATGTGGATGATATTTGGTTGGTGTTACCTGAACGGTTGGCTAACAACATTTTGGATGTATTTAATAGTATTTGCAAATCTATTCAGTTTACAATGGAAAGTGAACATAATGGACAATTGCCGTTCCTAGACACACTAACAATACATAATCTTGACGGCAGCATTTCCACTGAATGGTACATTAAACCTATTGCTAGTGGCAGAGTACTCAACTTTAATTCATTTCATCCCTTAAGCAACAAAATCAGCACAGCAGTTGGCTTGGTTGATAGGGTTTGTAAACTATGCTCAAATAAAACTCAACAGGAATTGAAGGATGTTATTTTCCCAATTCTATCACGTAATAATTATCCTAGGCCATTGATTAATAGACTTTTCAACAAATATAATACTAATAACAATAGGACTACCACAACAAATGCTACGCCTGTGATGACAAGTAGTAATATTACACAATTCTACTCATTGGAGTATATCAGTGGCATTTCCGAACATATTTCTAAACTTATTAGCACGTATATGGATTGTCGTATTTCGTTTCATACATCTAAAAAAGTTGCTGCTCTGTTCTCGAATGTTAAAGACAAGATTCGGATTAGATCACAAAGTAAATTAATTTATGCTATAAAATGTATGAACTGTCGTGATAATGAATACATAGGGAATACAGCTCAATGGTTGAGTAAGAGATTGAGACAGCATGAATTAACAGTAGTCAGCATGAATTAACGATATAAACGATTTGATTTTGATAACGCTAAAGTCTTAGCCAAATGTAATAATGTGTCTAAGAGATTCTATATGGAAGAACTGTATATAAAAAATTCTAAAAATTGTGTCAATATAAGAAGTATGGAATCTAATAACGTTAGCGTAATGTATGATCCAATTTTTTACTTTTCCGCACACATAGTGTAAGGTGAAAAGTATTGTAATCGGTCAAAATTTTGAAAACTTCAGAAACATGTTTTCTGGACGTTTCTGAGGTCAGAGAACCCGAATTAGGCCGTTTTGAGCATTGTTTATGTTAATCTGTACGTCGTACGTTGTACGTCGTACGTTGTACGTCGTACGTTGTAC